CTCTTCAGGATCATTAAAATCTGCATTCCCAGTTCTAAATAAGTCCTCTAAGGTTTCTCGCGCTATTACATGTGACTGTCCAAAGAGCTGTTTTAGAATGGCCTTAGCTCTCTTATATCCTGATTGTGGATCCATAATAATACAGCCTTCAATCGCACTTTTTGCTTTTCCCTTACAATAATGAATTAAATACAATAAACGCACTTGATCATCCTTTATTCGAGGTTCTATAAACGTCTCTATTTGTCGTATGAACCTAAAATAGTCGCGAGACCTTCCGTCAAAAAATGAGAGTTCAACCTTAGGTAGTTCTAAACCCTCTATCGATGACTTACAATAATAAATATCAGACATAACATGTGGGTTACCCATAAAAAAGTTATCATTAACGACTTGCCTAGAGCCCTGTGATCCGTCGAGCTCTTCCACCCTCCTCATGTGTGATGATTTGTTTTTTGCTTGACATCATAAATAAAGTTCAGTAGAAAAGGTAACAATACAAAATAGTAATTCCACGGTTCAGTTCAAAAATATGATAAGTAGTTCCAACTTCTTCCTCCAAGCAAGTCTAGTATGATAAACGATTAAAATTCCAAATGTTTCTTTATAATTCTTAATAATCCGAATAGTTCCAAAATATATGTGTTCAGATGAATATTTCCAAAGTATAATCCACGAAAGAAGAAAATTCCAGACTGTAGATTTATTTCGACAGTGGCTGTCCCAATTGTTTCTTATAGAAACACTCCTGTACGTTTTTCCTAGTTCCGGGTCCCGACCAAATCAAAAAGGGCAAAATTCTAGGAGAAAACGTCTCTATATTATTATAAAATGGAAATACAAAGTCTTACGGAATTTGTGTTTCTTCCAGGGTTAAATTACTCCGCAGAGTATCCAACACAATAGCCGATAAGTGAAGCTAAGTCCAGCAGCCACTGCGTCCGTCCGAAAATGTGGCGGTAGCCATATTATATCAAATTTAAACAATATATGTACAGTTCAGAAGCAAACACAAAAACTTCAATATCAGTACAAATATAGAAAGAATAACAATATACAATGATAAAATCTCAAATTGGAATCACATAAAATACCAAAAATGTCAAGAGAAAAAGTCCATCATGTCATAGCAAAATATGTAAACATGGAGGGATTTTCCAAAAAACAAGACATTCAAAAAGAATTCTACAATGATAAAATCTCAAATTGGAATCAAATAAACTACCAAAATGTCAACAGCAAAAGTCCGTCATGTCATAACAAAAATAAATAGACATGGAGGGATTTTCCAAAAAACAAAACATTCAAAAAGGATTCTACACTGGCCCGCAAAATCCCTCCATGCAAAAAAGCAAGCGTTAATGACACGTCAATTTAGGGTTCCCACTCATCCTCTAATCCACACCGGAAGTACGTGTAGGACTTACAGCAGTACGCCTACCCGCCCTCCAACATGGATATGACCTATTAAGCTAACTAGGTACCTATACCTTCCCATCAGGCTCTTGATTCCCCTATCTATCGTAGCATGACCTAACGGTAGTATAAACATTACCCAATTAACCCACACGAACATGAACAACACGTCGTAAAACTGGTCATATCCTATCCGGGAACTATATTCCATATCATGGGGATGAGTCGTCAATCCACCACCACTTGCTCCGATCAGCAGATACCATGAAGTCCGTGATGCTGGCTTATCAACAGAAGTTCTTGACCCATAGATAATATGCAAGGGTGGGATCTCCAAATTCGATATTTCCTCGTCTCCAGAAGACTTTAAGTAGCATAACATGGGATCAATATTTATCTCTCCATCTCCTGATACGGAGGAGGTTTGATCAGCATTCGTCATCCTCGGTAACTCATTTGTCACATCAGTGACATCCAGATTATTATCGTCGTCATCCTGATTCCATTGTGTCAGACAAGTCGCGTCGATTCGGTCTGCACTAGCATCCGTAGAGTGGAACTCTTCCATTTTTGTATAACTCATATCACTACATGAAAGAACAGCATTAGTATCGCAATTCGAAACTGATAAACTCACTTGTTGTTCTTCATGTTCCGTTTCAGAGACACAAGCCTTATGCTCATCAATAGCATCATTATCATGCAACACTGTAGATTGGTTGTTACCATCAGACGCTTCCTTCTCATCATCACTTGACTGACAGTCAACCGAAGTAGGGACACTTACAGTTACACAACCTTGTGTATCCTCAATCAACTTAACATTCGCGACAAGGTCCGAGGAAGTCGAAACACTAGAAGGCTCGTTCGATGAAGTTGATAGACTAGTCTCTATAGGTGGACTGCTCACACTTTCTGTCTCTTTACTATCTCTGTCACTACTAAGATTCCGATGACTAGTATTTCCATTGCTAGTCATGGCATCCGAAAGAGAATGATGTTTAGGCTTCTTAGTAATAGTAGCATCATGTTGTTTCCTAGGCTTCTTAGCCTTTACAGTACCGCCATCACTCGTCGTAGAATCTACTCTAGGTCCCGTTATATAATTTACCCTAACTGAAGGGTTCCGAACATAGGCTTTATTCCGTCCAGACAATCCTGCCTTAGCCTTATTCATATTTACTGAACTCACTAACCTCTGTTTACTCGAATCCAAATAACCGTTCCAGGCTTTTCGAGCAGTTAAGAGGCTTTCATCATCACACACCTCAGATCCATCTTGATGCCTACACTTTTCGCCTTTTTCTTTCTTTTCCATACTTAGAAAAGCCATCTTATCTGTTACACAAACCGGCTTCTTACTGGGATACGCATCAAGAGGTTTTACATCGTTACGGTCACATACTCGTCCTTCATCAGCGTATGCTTTCGTGATATAATTGACAAATCTCTTATCTTCCGAGCGTGCTTTAGGTAGAAACGAAAAATCCGAATGTCTCGCACACAGACCACTAGTAGCTTCCGTATTATTTCCTGTTTTAGCCTGATAAGCTAATCTTCCAAACCTACTACTAGCTATCTTAGCACGAGACATAATAAATTCCGTCAATTCATTGAAACTAGGCTCTCTCTCCTCTTCGTCCCACTTGATTACTAGCTCTGCCCACTGGGCTTGCATTCGATGAGGTAGGAGCCTAACTATTCGTTCTAAAGTAACCAGGGAATGAAGTTCCGTTGTACAGTTTAGCTGTTCTAAGGTTAAAGCAGCATTCTGCATTTTAATAGCCAAATTCGTCAACTCTTCAGGATCATTAAAATCTGCATTCCCGGTTCTAAATAAATCCTCTAAGGTTTCACGGGCTATTACATGCGACTGTCCAAAGAGCTGTTTTAAGATGGCCTTAGCTCTCTTATATCCTGCTTGTGGATCCATTATAATACAACCTTCAATCGCATTTTTTGCCCTTCCTTTACAATAGTGACTTAAATTCAATCAACGCAAATTTTCATCTTTTACTCTGGGGTCTATAAACGTTTCAGTTTGTCGAATAAATCTAAAATAGTCGCGAGACCTTCCATCAAAAAATGAAAGTTCGACCTTAGGTAGTTCTAAACCTACTATCGGTGTCCTAAGTATCTGATCCGTCTCTGGTACCTTAGAACTCTCACTTAAGCCTTGTTCCTTAATGCCTGCCAAAGGTGACTTACAATAATAAGTATCAGACATAACATCATTGCTAATAAAGTAGGTGTAGAATTCTTTTTGAATGTTTTGTTTTTGGGAAAATCCCTCCATGTTTACATATTTTGCTATGACCTGATGGACTTTTTCTCTTGACATTTTTGGTATTTTATGTGATTCCAATTTGAGATTTTACCATTGTATGTTGTTATTCTTTCCATATTTTGTACTTATATTGAAGTTTTTGTGTTTGCCTTTGAACTGTACATATATTGTTTAAATTTGATATAATATGGCTACCGCCACATTTTTGGATAGACGCAGTGGCTGCTGGACTTAGTGTCACTTACTAGCTATTGTAATAGATGCTCTACGGAGTAATTTAGTCCTGGAAGAAACAAAAACATCGTAAGCCTCTGTATTTCCATTTTATAACAATAAAGAGACGTTTTCTCCTAGAATTTTTGGCCTTTTGAATTGGCTGGGACCTGGATCTAGGAGTATCGTACCGGTGTGTTTCTATTGGACGCGATTAGGACAGCCGCCGGCGAAATAAATTCTACAGTAGGAACCCGTTAAACAAGCATCATCAACGACTTGCCTAGCTTTTCGGGATCGTTCAAGCTCTTCCACCCTCCTTGTGTTTGTTTTCTTGCGGTGGATCATTTTTAAGTGAAGTTCAACGGAAGATTAATAAGAAATACAAAATATAGGAATTCCACAGGTAAGAAATATCCAAAATCAGTAAATCGTCTTCCAAAATACAGTTCGAATACAAAAAATACGATAAGTAATCCAAAGTTCTTCTTTCAAGAAGTTTAGTATTATAAACGATTAAATTTCCAAATGTTTCTTTATTCTTCTTAATAATCCGACTGTAATTGGTCTTCTAATCAAAAGTCGAGGCAACTTCAGACCATAAATGAATTTTCTACCGTAGCAGTTCAAATGGTTTCCAGTAAGTGCAATCCGAACGCGTATCTCCCAGTCCAATGTCCAAAATACACAACAATTCTAGGAGAAAAAGGTCTATATTATATTAAAAGATGGAAATACAAAGCAATACCTGAAGTTGATGCACCTTCCAGGTCACAATTACTCCGAGGAGTATCCAAGGTAAAGGGGAATAAGTGACCGCCACAGTATCAATCCAAATATGGCTGTAGCCATATTAAAGATCAAATTTAAACAACATATATACAGTTCAGAAGCAAACATAAAAACTTCAATATAAGTACAAAATATAGAAATAATAACAATATACAATGATAAAATCTCAAATTGGAATCAAATAAACTACCAAAATGTCAACAGCAAAAGTCCGTCATGTCATAACAAAAATAAATAGACATGGAGGGATTTTCCAAAAAACAAAACATTCAAAAAAGATTATACAGTGAACGGTTCAAAACATCTTTAGAAGCACTGTATGTTTTCGACAGCATTGACGATTCATCATCATCATCATCATCATCATCATCATCATCATCATCATCATCATCATCATCATCATGTGGGCTAGTTGTTAACGATTTTTTAACACTTTTATCTATCATTTTTGGAACTAAACAACGTTGGAATATGATCGGTGCAGTCATCATTGTATGAAACATTTTTTCTTCTTGGTTGTTGTCCAACAGATGACTTCGTTTTATATTTAAGCAGCTTATATTATCAACGATTTACAATCTGTTCTGTTCAGTTGGTGTTATCACGACAAGTTATGCCGCGCGAGTAATCAGTTTACGCTCTCGAACAAATCTCATACAAGCTGGGGACTACATCATCGCATTTACCTCATCGTTGACAACATTTCTGACCGACATGATTAGCATGAGTCCAAAGTGAAACTTCTTGGTTGTTTATGCTCTCTTGATTATTTTTTGGCTCAAGTATGGAAATAGTATCCAAAACTAGCTCTTTTTCATCCTGCAGAGACACTTGCATCGTGACACTAATAATCCCTACTCGTAGTGTGCGTTTCTTACCGATCACAGGAACAATCATCAATTTTTCAACTTATGGCTACTTGGTGAGTAATAATTTTATACGACAAAACCACGATTGTTTTTCTGCATGGTTATACTTCTGTACTTTCAGTTAGTCACTTAAATATAGGCGTGACTAGAATTCGATATTTGTGTAACTACCGTAAACTTAAAATACACTCATTGCACTACCATTGATAATACTCTTACAAAGGTGCTTCATAAAGCTTATCTAACAGATCGCCAATTACCCCTAGACTACTGAGACTACTGCGCGTAGGAAACTTTTTAAGCTCATCCCTTATTCACCTTCATTTCAATGCCCTGCAATTTCTTCGAATTTATGATTGTTATTAAGTATTGTATAAAGTCTTATATTTTTAGTGAGATAAAACAGATTGGTATCGTAAAACAGGACGATCAGTAAAATGCAACGAAGACTAGGTAATTAACAACACTGAAGAACAGCAAAACAGTTGTGCGGAGCGCTTTAAAGATCTCTTGACTCAACCAGCCTCACTGAACCAACCCAACATCGAAACAGAATCCATGGACCTCCCAATCGATGTTGGGGAACAATACGGACATCAGACAAGTGAAGAGTGGCAAAGGAGCAGGACCAGAAAACATTCCAGCAGAGACAATGAATGCAGACGTGGCAGCAACCGCAAAACTATTTTATATTCTGCTCAACAAGAGTTGGAATGAAGATCAAGTACCAACAGACTGGAAAGAAGGATACTTGATCAAAATACCAAAGAAAGGTGATCTCATCAAGTGTGAGAACTACAGAGGCATCACTGTTCTCTCAATATCAGGCAAAGACTTCAACAGGGTGTTTTTAAACAGGATGAAGGACTTTGTAGACGCCCAACTTCGAGATCAACGGGCTGGATTTCTTAAGGATCGATCATTTACTGACCAAGCTGCAACATTACGGATCATTGTGAGACAACCAATTGAATGGAACCCACCACTCTACATATACTTCATCGACTACGAGAAAGCATTCGATAGCGTGGACGGGACAACATTGTGGAGGCATCTTCGATACTATGGCGTGCCTCAGAAGATAGTTAACATCTTATGGGAATTCTTATGATGGATTAATGTGCACAATCGTTCACAGAAGAAAGCTGAAAAACTCATTCAAGGTGTCAGGCAAGGTTGCTTACTCTCACTCTTCCCCTCTATCCTAGTGATCAACTGAATATATCAACATCTGTGGGGAAGCACGGTATACAGTGAACAGCCAGGATACAACTGGATGATCCAGACTTCGCAGATGATCAGCCTCCTTTGGTGCACACGCAACAACAAGACATGAGAAGAAGAAACGGCTGTCGAACAGAAATAGAAAGGGAAGCCCAGGACAGAGTAGGTTCGAAATCAGTGTTACCTTAATAACAAGAAGACTACACATATCAACCTCACAATCAAATATACACCTACAGTGAGTGTTGAAAATTATCGAACCATGAATATTACTTCGGTAGTATCTAGAGTGATGGATAAAGTAGTAAGGGCGGTGGTACTACAACACCTACTTAGTAATAATCTCACAAGCTATTTGGTTTTAAGAAGAGTTATTTATGGTTGACAAAGTACTTAATAGTTCATGGAAATTACTTTGATCTTAATGATCCAAATCTGCCCATAGATGTAGTCTTCATCGCGTTTATTAAGGCTGTTGCCACATTTTTATACAACCAGATGCTCAGATTGGTGGCTTTGGGTAAGCGGCAACTTATTCATATGGATAATGGGTATCTTAGTTGGGTGTCATAAAATTGTGCGGATTTACTCTAGGTTATTTAGTGGGAGACTTTGTATGGCGGAGCAGCTGAGAGCACAGTTTTGGGAGCAATAATATTCCTCCTGTATGTGAGTGACTTTCATTGTCACTTATCACCATTCGTTTTATTAACTGTTGAAGATATCTTTATATGGTAAGTTAAAAAACTGAAGGTGAAAGTTTCGAGCCTCGAAATATCTAAATATCTCAGAATTTGGTAGTTGACTATAAACGATTTTATGTGAATTATTATGCTTAGTGGTTACAAAGTACAGATATACACACTATGAATGACATTGAGCTCCCTATTTTTATTTAGCACACAGTAGGTTACATGCCGGCTCTAAAAACTCAGTCCATTGTAGTCGCAGTTTATAAATCGAATAACTAAAAAACGAAATTCCGATACAAGTACTAAAAGTCTGTTCATAATTAGCCTAGATGGTCCCTTCTAATACTAATTACGACACATTTCTCAACGAACCGACCGTTTTTAAGTTTCCAGAGCCCAATATCCAAAGTTTCAGTACAAAAATATATAAGAAATCCAAAAGAACCAGTGGCCAAATCAAATTTTGAGTACAAAATATAAATAAATAAAAAATAATGATATTTTTGAAGAAGGCTAATATTCATCTCAATACACTAAGTCTCCAGTGTAACGTAATTAAGGAGTCATTAATAGTCGATACTTGGATACTGCAAAACTATGACGTGAGATAGCAGTCAAAGGATTAGATCCCTATCGTCAGCATGGAAAGGCCTTAACCGAGTCAGCGTCAAGGAATTTTTGACTTTTATACAGAACTTTTCCGCCCTAAACTTATATATTACACACAAGCTACCACTCCACTCTAAAAACGACTGTAGGTAATTAGAAAAGTTTAAAACGATTGAAAATAACTTGATCCCCGGAATCGTGAAACTTCAATATGGCAGGAGACTATCTTAACCAAGCCTGCTTTCTCGTCATATAGAAGGATTAGAGGTGATCTGATCACAATCCTCAAATTACTGAGCGGTGAATTTTCATCTGGTATGCCCTAATTTCCATTTTCTTCCGAAAAGGAAAAACTTTGCATGATAATTGAAAAATTTATTTGTCAGCTGGTTGGCGATTCTCTCCATGAATACTCAACAAATGGAACTCGTAACCTTACTGCGATTGAAGCCTAGTCTATTGAAGCGTTCAAAATGAAGTTGAAATAACTGAGAGACCACCATTGTCAAGATTAACACGAATCACCCTGTCTCCTGTCCTTTACAATCTTAAATTTGATGTAACAACAGTGGTAGCCTTTAGAAATTCACTGAGCACGAGAACTAAAGGTTTAAGACATCTTTTCTTCAAGGCGGAAACTCGTAGACCATTTGGAAATCTCTTGGAGCCAGTTCTTTACCAATATTATGACTTGAGTGCAAGAGCTCACTTTTTCCGGTCACTTAGATTTTAACCTTTCTACAAATATATATCTCCTTGATTCTTTTGAGTGATTAGTGGCGCATATACAGAAGCTAGCTGAGATAATCCTTGACCCATTAATATTTGAACCCATTGAATCCTGACCTCCATATCAAACCGCCTTTAAGGGGGAAAATCAAAATCTATTTTTGATAATCCAAATGACTGCTAAAGCCGCAAGCAAGGTTGTAAAGCAACTAGCTGGCAGTGGGACAGGCCAGAGCTTAATGGATAGGGTCACCCAAGCAAAGTATAGTTTGGCTGGTTCTGGTCTAGGGAAAGTTGTAGCGAAAGCGACCACAGAGGAAATTGGTGCTCCTAAGAAAAAGCACCTTGACTGTATGCTTTAGTTTGAGAAGTAATAATTTAAATAGATCTCGTAAACTGCAGTAATGAACCTAACGTTTCTATTCCACTACTTGCTGGGCTTCTTGTGGAAAGGACCCAAGAAAAGTCATGGGTTATTGTTTTCAAAGCACTCATAACTACTCACAATCTCATGAATTTTGGAAATGAGGTAACATAAATTAGAAAGTTATACTGTTCCCGTATAGAAATTCTCACATTATCTTGCTTCCAACAACTGCCCAATTGACCTTCCACATTTTAATGATAAAACGAGCTCACAATGTATGTATATTTATTAATGGTAGTAACATTTTTAGCTTATGAAATGTCCATATTCATTCGTAAATATTCAAAATATTTGGCGGAAAAAATTTCTTCCTATAGAGCTATGGCTTTCG